TTTACACAAGTACATACACTGTGGAACAAGACGCTAGTAAGACGTTTCAGTAATCCTTTTGTTACAAGACTGTGGTTAATGTAAAAAAAATACAAACTGGTATTACAGGATTAAGTTTCCTCTCTGTAAAAGAATTCAAAATATGATCTAAAACTTTACTCCATTTGTTTGACAATTGCTATTTTATTTAATCTCTCTTCCATGAAAGTCTGGAAATCACTGGGCAAAACCTTGTTTTCTACAAACAAAAAATTTACTATTTGGTATTTTACAATGAATATGTATGAAAGATATAAATAATTAAAGGAGGTGTTTAAAGGAACATTCCAAGCACCATAATCACTACAGTATAGCTAGTTGTAATCTGACTTATTGTATACATTCTGCCTCAATGTATGAGTGCCTCAAGTGACTTCACAAACTCTAGTCAAAGAGCCTGTTGAAAGTTTAACTTTGCGCAACACTCTATGAATGGTTGAATGTTTTCCTTATACTAACTTATCTATTTCAGTGTATTTCAAAGCTACGCATGGCTTCAGAAATAAAACAAAGCGCACACATAAAAAAGGTACAGACATTTTTACAAGGTAAAGAGTGCACTGCGCTTTGCACGGTCTTATAAAATGAAAACTAGCAATACTATTTTATTACCATTAACCTTGAAGATCAGGAAAGGGTAGGTGCAATTAACCATCTCCATCTGGTTAATGAGATTACTGACCTCTTAAATAATAAGAGTTTGTCTGGTCTCTCTCCTTTTTTTTAACTTTCTTAGTGGCAGATTCACTTTGCACTTTGTTAATCCAGAAAGTGAAACCTAGCTTCGCATACCAGTTATTGAATACCTCTCTTAAAATACTCTTTGATCTGATAGTAATAACCTTTCTATATCTTTGCTCTAAGAGTACTAACCTTGAATAGGTCTCATTTGTTTTGCTTGTTTACAAGTATTTTATTTGGCAACAATTTAACTGCTTCATTACTTTGAGATTTGCATAATAAATAAATAAAATAATATGAATTTGTAAGAATAAACTCATGTATACATTGTTTTAGGATACGAGACACACCTATTGCACCAGTGTGTACACACTACTGTCGTTGAAGAGGTTAGGTATTAAATATATACTATAACACCCATTAATTACTTTTCTGCATTAACGTAAGCAGTTTCTCCAAATCTCTAACATTGCAAAATTCATTATTTCGACAACAAAATCTCTTCCCTGGCTGCCTTCCTCTTTTATATATTTATTTATACGTCATTGCACAAACAATAGTGCAAATCTAATCTGTCTAATGCTTTCTGTGCATGGAAATCTTTCGAGTTAGCATATGGTTTTGAATTGATCAACTTTATTAGCATGCTTGAAGCAAAGATAAAGCAATATGTCTATAGCCTTTGCAAGCCATCAACTTCTCTCCAGGCACAGACTTTCAGTCATTATACTTACATATATCATGTAATACAGCTCATTGAAGAGGAAGGAAGCCAGGCACTCACAAGTGTTAGCTCTGTAGGGTTTCTACCACCAATTATAAAAGTGCTGATTTCTATTGAAATTGGTCATTTTATAATCTGTGTATGACAGACTCCAGATACATAAAGTTTAAGCGCTTTTTGTGTGTGGTGTTTTCCATTAAGAAAAAAATCTATAATATCGGTAGCTAGATATACAGAATGTTTTCTGTGTCTTGATCAGACTTTCTTTTTTCAAATATAATAAATATATGGATATTTTTAAAAACTAACAAAAAGGTTTTTTTTCCTACTACCATCACTTTACAATTGCCTCTCTGACACATTCATTATCTCATTGGTCTCTACCTCTTCATAAATTTGTTATTATATACCCAAACACAAGCTGTGTTTTAATGTATGAAAGAGAAGGTGGAGGGCGTAGCAGTCATTTGGAAACCAACCATCAGAATGTCAAGATACGTTTTCCCTGGTATGGTTATAATAAAAGGTAATTTCTTAATTACTTAATTACATGTCTGGAAATTGGACATTTGTTGCCATATTAATTGAAGGACACTATGCTCTATTCCTGTGTGTTAGGGTGTCACTGGATCACCCTAATATTATTATTAATTCTTTACCCTCTGGGCACAAGTGAAAAAAAGAATGGACTACAGACAGAAACATCATTATTATTAGATTAATACATACATTCTACTGCTGAAGAGATAGGGTAATAAGCGAACATCTAACAGCCCACCAGTTTATTAATTAACCTACCGCCCACCTGGCATAAGTGATGGGAATTATGGAGGTTCCAATCTACTACTTATTAACTTCTGGTGATGAGAGTAGAGAGAGTTGTGGCTGACCGTCAGTTTATTAATTTACCTCCCCATCAAGCAGGCATGAGATTAGAGAAGGGCCGCATACAGGTCCCTACCTATTATTTTTATTAACTTATAAACCTGACAGTTTCTACTGAAATCTGCCATTTTTGGAAAAAGAAAAAATAGGACACACTCTTCACACATAAAGCATTTCAGCAAGTTAAAGTGCTTTAGGGGTCCACAGTTAAGCTATTAAGCTGATGATAGTAGAGAGAGCTGTGGCTACTCACCAGTGGCTGCGTACTCTGAGCACCAAAACAACGAGCTTAGTGGAGATTAATATATCCTCTCCAACCCCTTTGTGCCAACCTAGTTCTCCCCTCACCCTGTCCTCTACCAAGAGGGTGAGTGACATCACCAGTTGAGGTTGAGGCCGCAGAGGCAACTAGGCCTTGGCACTGGATCAAATGTGAGTTTTAACTTTATATCTTTATTTTTTTTTACTTTTACATGGAGATCATACCAAGAAAGGTTGCTTTAACCAAAAGCTGTGTTTTATTAAACACCCAGCATGCAAAAAAGTCTATAGTTATTAGGACCAGAGGACTGGACATCCCTGGTTCACTTATTATTGGCTTCAAGGCTTTGTGAATCAAAATGTTTTATATATACTCACTTTTGAAGGTACTTCTTTTTCTACACCTTCTGGGGTCTGCAGACACTATGGTGGTGTCTACAGAGACTAGTAAATAGCTGGAACCCTTGTCCAGACATATTTTTAGTTCAATTGTCTCATGGCCACCATTTGTAAATTGAGCTAAGGTAATTTTTTACAATTTAACAAGTATCTGACATGCCAAAACTCGAGATGGTTTTCTGCATAATGATATGTGAGATTACATTATTTTACCTTCAAAGAGGGAAGGAAACCTTATCTTCCTGTTTCTGAATAAAGTTGAGAAATAATGTAAGTACTATTTTTGTAATTAGAACATAGACTGTGGTGTGTAAGACATTTACAACAACGGGAAAAACATTTTTATTTAATGTGGGGTACACTGATCAGTAACACTTACCTGGAATACAGGGTGGGGCAAAACTTCCCGTGCTGGTTTCCATACCTAGTACGACTTCACTGCCTACTTAAGGAGGTCCAATCAAATGCTTCTTGTAGAGAAGCATTTCATTTTACCATTTACAGTCAGCAGGAATGCAAGAATTGGCAAATGGTAGATCCCCAGCTGGCATGGCATCATGGGAGTTGTACAACAGACCTTTTGGCCACCCTTGTGCTACAGGAAGTCCATGCAAATTTGTTGCACAAGTGTCCTCACTACATTAGTTATGCCAGCGTACAACGTACAGGCGCAATTATTGGACAGAATTAACATTAGTCACCCTGGAACAGAATTCGGGTTGCCTAAATCACATGTGCTGGGGTGTAACTAACTCGTGCCTTGCACAAAAGTGCAGATTTCACTGTATATGCAGAGTTTCAAGCGGAGACGCTGCACATCCAAATTCCAATCACTATGACCACTTCTAAAAGCAGAAGTGGTCATGGACGTTGGAGTAGACTTTAAGTCTGAGTCCTTCAGGTCCCATTCCCTTCTCTCCATCTCAGTACACCGTCCCTACTTCACATCTCAGTTTCCATTTTCCTCCTTCCATCTAAGTAGTAGATTCAACACTGAAAAATATTGAAATTTCATTACAATCAGGAGTGTTCATTTTCAGTGCCATTACCCCCAATGGAACAAACTCATTAAACCCTCCTTTGATGTAGAAGGTTAGAAAGCTTTTCTTTTACCCTCAGATTGAGGGAAACATTGTAATTTTAGTAAAATGACCTATTGTCGCTGGGCAAAGTGCATTGTGTTTTCATTAAATATTTATAAAGTAAGAAAGTAAGTAAGAGATCAATTAAGATTTTTTTTCTTTTGTAATTGTACTGCTCATCAAAAATGCATTCAATGAATGATCCATAAACGATCACTGTACCTACAGACAATGGCGAAATGCATGCACAAAACAAACAAAAATGGCAATGGCCTAATATTTCAGTGAAAATTTGAACAACAACATATAAAACCCAAGAAACTTTTGGAAAATCATAAATAGCATTCAAACCCCCACAATCCATTCCCAACCCCCCACTGTCAAACTGGACAATCAAACACTGCAACACCCCCTAGATGTAGCAAATGCGTTTAATAATTATTTAGTTGGTTGTGCTACCACCCTGGTTGCTAAGATAACAAATGACACTCATTTTCAGACCACAAATAAAGATCTGGCCCTGACAAATCTTCAAAATCCTCATATAGAGAAATTCAATTTTAGACCTGTGCCTGTTAGTGTCGTTAATAAACATCTTAATAATTTAAAAATGAAAAACCAGTGTGGACCAGATCAAATCCCTGCAATGTTGCTGAAACTCAGTGCACCAGCAATTGCTAAACCTGTCTACCCTTATCAATGAATCCATGGTGTCAGGATACATACCCAAACTTTGGAAGACTGCAAAAGTAGTACCCATCCATAAAAGTGGTGACAATACGGGGGCGTGGCTTGGACTCCGAGAGTGATGGCAGCCTAACTCCGGAGCTCCGCACCGCAGGCTCAGCAAAAAGCCCGGCAAACAGCTTACCGAAGACACAGTCCCCCTGCAGCACAGTCAGTGATCCGTGGCAGCCGACCCCAACGCCATGTCACACCGGAAGGCGGCGGCGAAAAAACAGAGAGGGGATAATCCCTCCGTCGCGGACATGCTGGCCGCCATTAAGCCAGCGCCACGTGGGATGCAAGGTGTCCTCTTTGAGCCCCCCTGCCACACCAACGTCTCTCTATGGCCAAGCAGAGGACCCCCAATGTGCTATACTGCAGTCGCTGGAGGAGGTAAAGGGGTACCTGGCAGGGGAGATAGAGCGCACGGCCAGGGAGGTGAAGGCCGAAATCCAGGCCATTGGAGTCAGAACGGAGGCCCTGGAAAGCAGATTGGAGGAGGTAGTGACGGCTCACAATTCCACCACCACGGCCACCAATGCACTTCTGACCAGGGTAGCTGCACTGGAAATGGAGCTAGAGGACAGCTCCAACAGAACAAGGCGCAACAATATGCGCGTACGCGGCTTACCAGAAGAGGTACAAGATGGCGACTTAGAACAAGTAATGGTGGAATGTTTCCGTGCCAGTCTGCCACAGATCCCAGACCACTTATGGCACATTGACAGGATCCACAGAGCACTCCGTGCAAAGGGCCCACAAAATAGTCCACCCAGAGATATAATCATCAGATGGCACTTTTACTCCACAAAGGAAGCCATACTTAAACGGAGCAGGAACCACCAATACACCTACAAAGGGAAGGAGCTCCAGATCTATCAAGATATCGCCCCAGCAACCCTGGCGAGAAGGAGGGAATGGAAACCCGTCGCGGACCTCGTCAGAGCAAAAGGCCTACGCTTCGCCTGGGGATTCCCCTTTAAAATGCTGATCTTCAATGGCCCGAGACCTATAGTCCTGTTGCCGTCCATGGACCCCAGGGGGGTCCTTCGTGACCTGGGCATCCACGTACCAGATGATCTCACCCTGCCACAGAGAGGCCCCAGGGCACTGGACCTCCTTCCCAGGGACTGGACAGAGCATGGGTCGTGCCCCACCTAGGCAGAGGCGGTGGAGGCCCGTGATGGAAAGACACGCATCACGGACAGTGGGACACGCAAGTTGCTTTTATTATTGCATGCTGACTTTAAAATTTTTTTTTTTTTACTCAGGACACTAACGCTGACATTACAGTTATGACATGGGGGACAGCTGGGGCACGAGGGTCACGGCACTAGGAGATGGGGGGAGGGGGGGAAACGGCAGGGGGTATCTATTAACAAAAATGTGTGTATGTATGTATGTGTGTGTATATATATATATATATATGTATATATGTATATGTATATATATATGTATAAAAATTATAAACAAAAAACAAAAAAACCACACATACCGCCTTAGGCATGGGATACCTCGAATACTACGGTACTACCCCCACAGCAGGCTTGGGGATGGCTGTCCTTCTCTTGTCCAGGCGAGGGAAGAACCTGCGGTGGATGGGAGGGAGGCCCCCTATAGCGCAAACCTCTGACAATATGGCCGGGTCCGGGGTCCCAAGGAGGCAAAGGGGGGAAGCGGGGCTACCCAATACTAGGCGTACGTCACAAGCACTACTATACAAAGAAAAAAAAAAAAACACAATCTATCTGTACGTATATATAAAAAAAAACAAAAAAAAAACAAGGGGGGGATCCGACTTATGACATACTACGGTCCTAGTGGACCTGACGAGATGACGGGGATGGGGGGGCAGGCCAGACCAGAGGTGAGCTAAAGTGAGGGAGGAATGGGCGAGACAGCCTGCAGAGCAGGGCTGTGGGGTGCGGACCTCCCCCCCCCCCACCGGGTGACCTACACCCCCCCCTTGGGTGAGGGCTTGGCAGCGGGACCCTACCACCTTGACAGCAATCCATATAAAGGGAAGGTAGTCAAAGGCGGACGCAAATCAGAACTGAGAACCAGGTCTGAGGTAACAAACAGGAGTGAAGGACATTAAAGTTACAATGTAGACACCCCCCCCCCAGAGTTGGATGAACAGTGCATAGTGGACACGCTCCTAAGAGCCGGTGACAGGGAATACCCCATGACACGACCATGCAGGACTAGATAGAAAGTTGTCAAGAGCCTGACCACGGTGCTCGTTGGCTGTACACTAGCCCCGCCTGAGACTCCCTCTCGGCGCGGCGAGTGGCCACCCCCGATCGCCTGGCGGACTATAAGACCGGGATGTTAGATCCGAAGAGACAAAGGATCGTGAGGAATCAACCTCAGACACACCTAGGTTATGGTTGTATCTGTTATGTTCTTACGTTACCGATGCAAGTTTTCTTAACCCTTTTTGTTTCTTTCCCTATCCCTTCCCACACCCCAACCACGATGAGGTTCACCCGACACCTACGGGGGGGGGCGCCGGATCGCACGCCGCACGCTGGGAGACGCACAGCGCCACGAGCAGGCCGCACGCCGAAGCACGAGGTACAACACCACACTACACACAATACAACATGGCGCTTAAACTTACATCACTAAACGTCAACGGCCTCAATGTCCCGAATAAACGCAGACTGCTAATGAGAGAGCTACATAGACATAGGGCAGATATAGCGTTCATTCAGGAGACCCACATACCGACCACATTTAAGATACAAATCACAGACCACGTCTACACGCGAGCTTATGCAGCAAGAACACTCCGTAAAACAAGAGGGGTAGAAATAGTTATCCATAAACGATGTCCACTGGTGATACAAGCCATACAGAGGGACCCGGAAGGCAGGTACATAATAATTACGGGAACAATCAACTCAACTACATACCACCTCGTTAATGTATACGCCCCCAACACCCCAGAAGTACTATTCTGGAAGACGCTAGAAACTTTAATAACCTCCCTGACAGGGGGCATATTGCTCCTAGGAGGGGACATGAACGCAGCGCCGTGTCCCGCGGTTGACCGCAGCGGTAGGGCGGGCCAGCCCAGATCGCAGGGTATGGGGGTACAGGACCGCCTCTTTAACAAATTCCTCCAGAGCACGGGGCTTTTGGACCCCTGGAGACTGCAGCACCCGAGCACGCGTGATTATACCCACTACTCAGCAGTACACTCCACATACTCTAGAATAGACCTATTCCTCACAAACCAGCAAGGCATGAGACGACAGCAATTAACCAAATATCGTGGTCAGATCACGCTGACATCACACTAACCCTGAAGACACCAGGACCACAGACCCCTGGGAGTTGGAGACTAAATAACTCCCTTCTTAAGAACCCAGAGGTCCTGGGGCAGCTCCAGACTTAAATAGCCAACTACATTCAGCTTAATGCCACAGAGGACTTATCCTCGACCACAATATGGGCGGCCCATAAGGCAGTTCTCAGGGGGACCATAATAAAAATAGCGACTTACCTTAAAAAACAAAAATTAGCCAAACTCACAGAACTGCAGACGGCACTGCGCACAAAGGAAATGCAACATAAACAGAACCCGACACAGAACAAGCTGGACGAAATACAGAATATCAGACGTACCCTGAGAGACCTCATCTTGGACGAGGTGAGCAGGGATCTCACCCGTTCAAGAAGACTCTTCTATGAGAAGTCCAACAAGATGGACACGTTGTTAGCTAGGGCCCTCAGACCCAAACAAAAATACAAACACATTACGTCCGTCACCAACGACAGGGGCCAAACCCTCACATCCCCACAGGCAATTGCAGAGGAATTCACAAACTTTTTACAAAAACTATATAACCACTCGCCCGGACTGGACGGCACGAACAGGGAACATGTAGAGGAGGTGGCGAGATTCCTGGAGGGGGTTAAGCTCCCCAGGCCCACTAGGGAAGACGTCATTGAACTGCAGGCACCCATCACAATAGAGGAGGTGGAAAGGGCTATAGGGGCGATAGAGGGCAATAGAGCTCCGGGTCCAGATGGATTCGATGGGGTCTATTATAAAACACTACGTGCAGAACTGGTACCACACCTGACAGCAATGTACCAGGAATGGATGGAAGGGGGGCAACCCAACGCGGAGCTGGCCACGGCGGCGGTGATATTAATCCCAAAGCCGGGGCGTGACGAAACGAAAGTTACTAATTACCGCCCCATTTCCCTAATCAATGTTGACACTAAAATATACGCTAAAATCCTGGCCACTAGGCTGGGACATATTCTGCCCAGATTGGTCCATGCGGACCAGGTGGGCTTTGTACCTACCAGGCAACTCTATGAAAACACCCGGCGGGCGGTGGACTTGATCTGGTGGGCCGGACAGACTCGAACGCCTTCTCTGGTCCTTTCGTTGGACGCGGAGAAGGCCTTCGACAGGATCCAATGGCATTATTTGTTCGCCCTCTTGCGCCATATCGGCCTACCGGACAACTACATTACAGCAGTTAGAGCATTATATACGAACCCACAGGCCCAGATCGCCATACCAGGAGCGACCCCGAAACCATTCAAACTAAGCAATGGCACACGACAGGGCTTCCCGCTCTCGCCACTTCTCTTTATACTGGCCCTAGAACCCCTCCTGCACAAGATCAGGGAACACCCCAAAATAACGTGGCTGACAGTAGCCACAGAACACTTTAAGGTATCCGCATATGCGGATGATATCTTACTAACGCTCACAGATGTGAAAAGCTCCCTCCCGAACCTGATCCACCTATTGGGGGAATTTGCGCAAGTGTCGGGCTATAAAATAAATCTGGGAAAATCGGGGGCCATGCCGCTGGGGCTGACAGCAGAGGACGCGGCGCAGCTAGGGACAATGACACACATTAAACTTAACCACCAACACATAAAATATCTGGGAGTGCAATTAACGACGGACATCACACGACTATTTCAGGAAAATTACACACCAATGATAAAAACATTCATTAAAGACCTGGAAAAATGACATGAAAAGCCGATCTCATGGATTGGTAGGCTCCATGCTATCAAAATGAATGTCTTACCGAGGATGCTGTTCCTGTTCCAGGCGCTGCCCATCAAAGTTACAAAAGGGGATCTCCAGCTCCTACAAACCACAATAGATAAATTTATATGGGCGCACAAAAGGCATAGAATAGCCCGAAACACGCTCTACCGCCCTAAAGGACTGGGGGGATTGGGTCTGCCTAACTTCCACTTATACTATCTATCAGCGCAATTAGCCCAAATAATAGAGTGGCACTCACCCCCAGAGGCACGCAGATGGGCAGACTTGGAGTCCCTAATGATGGGATCGGATCTCCCTCAATATTGGATTTGGGTTCCAAAATTAGACAGACCTGCCCTGCGCACAAGCTGCCCAGCCATAACTAACTCCATCAGAGTCTGGGATGCCACCGCACATAAATACGCACTGACCAGCACTCCCTCACCCCTCACCCCATATCTGAGAAATAAAGCGTTCCCTCCAGGCTTACGGGCACGGGACTTTAAAGGGTTGGAATACACAGGCCTACAAAGGTACTACCATTTATATGATGGGGACACATTTAAATCGTTTGAGGAGCTGAAACAAACTGCACCGCTGCAAACAAAAGACCTATTTAGATACATCCAACTACGCGATTTCGCGACACGCCCTGGAATACGAAAGGCAGCTAGGACCCCACTAACTAGCTATGAGAAACTGTGTATCACTGAATCAACCCATAAGGGCCTGATCACCACATTATATGCACAACTTAGCGCCCCGGGGAGAGACGCAGCACCCCTTAATTATGTCACCCAATGGGAACAGGATCTCCATCAGACACTGGAAGGGGAGGACTGGAGGGACATATGGGAAGCAGCAGCGAAGGTGTCCGTGTGTGTAACACTTCAGGAACAGGCATACAAAACCCTCCTGAGATGGTACACCACCCCGGCTAAATTATTTAAAATGGGGAAAACCACCACGGACACATGCTGGAGGGGCTGCGGAGAGCGGGGATCATACGTCCACATGTGGTGGACGTGTCCCAAAGTGGCCAGATACTGGTCGGACATAGAGAAGCTGATGACGACGATACTAGCACGACCAATACGCAAAGACCCTTGGACTTACCTGCTAGCTAAAC